GTTGGTTCGGGAATTGCCCCTGGACGGTGTGTCGTTGATTCCATACCTGACAGGCGAGGATGGCCTCAAGACCGATACCGTCTTGGGCGAGTACATGGGCGAAGGGACGCAATCTCCAGTTGTGATGATTCGTCGTGGCCGCTGGAAGTTCGTATACTCGCTAATTGACCCACCCATGCTCTTCGATGTGGAAACGGACCCAGAAGAAAAGGTGAACCTGGCGGCTGGTTTGCCCGTTCCGGCGCGACTAAATGCAGCCAAATCTATTTCAGGATCGCAGTTGCAACCAGCATCCTTGCCTACTCCCGCCGAGTCTCCCCGTGTGTCGCCTCGACCACAGCGTGGTGCATCGTCCGCATACCCATTCCCTAGCCCCCCACGGACTCCTAGTCCAGGCAAAGGATTGCCAGAAATGCCGACCACTACCGAGCCCGCCAAGGTCCTGGCATACTTCCTGGAAGAAGCGCAAGCCCGCTGGGATTTAGAGAGCATCACGGAAGATGTGCTGCGGTCACAGCGCCGGCGACGCCTGGTTTACTCGGCTTTGATCCAGGGCAACCCGGCTATTTGGGACTACGAGCCGCGCATTGACCCCAGTACACAATACGTGCGCAACCAGGGCAAGGGTGTTTTGGACGACGTTGAATTTATTTCTCGCTGGCCCCGTGTGTTGCAGCAGGCCGCCAGTGCTATGGGCACCAAGGTTTGAATCGCCATTGAACAAGCAGCTTGGGGGGAATTAAAATAAGGAAGCGGAAAAGAACAGTATTCAAGATCTCGACATGGCTCTGCTTCCAGGATCATTCATTGTTAGTTTTAGTTTTGGTTTTGGTTTTGGTTTTGGTTTTGAGTATGTTCCGATGAGTTTGATTTCGTGATGATTTAGTTAGCGAGGCGCTATACCCGGCATTGTTTGCATTCTCAGCGTTTGCTCGAGTCTCCGTATCGATTGGTGAATGCTTTTTATTCGGGATCTCCGGCAGATTGGTACGGCAGTGCTGTACATAGGCATATAGGAGAAGCTGCCTGCGTGTATGATAGACCAGAATGACAGACTGACAGACTGACAGACAGAATGAATGAATGAATGAATGTATGTATGTATGTATAACTAAGAAAGATACGAATGTATTTGTCATGCGGAGATTCAATCCGTAGAGAGAGAGAGAGAAAGAGAGAAGCGGGTCCTCATGACGAATCTTTGGTGACTCACCCGGCGATTGGTTCGGCTTTCGGGATTTGATTTATATTCATCTTTAAATCCCCCCGCATCCATGCATGGGCTTCTTCAACCATCAACAGAGCACACAAGCTTCTCCATCGACCAAACATGCCGTCCAAGATCACCGTAGGCGTTGCCCAGGCACGCACCCACAACACTGTCCCCGAGACTCTCTCCGCCCTCAACCGCATCACCCGTCATGCCGCCTCCCGCGGCGTCCATCTGCTCCTCCTCCCTGAGGCCTATCTGGGAGGATACCCCCGGACCTGCAACTTTGGCACTGCCATTGGTGCGCGTCAGCCTCATGGACGGGAGCAGTTCCTGAACTACTTCCACTCCGCGGTGGATCTCGGGGATACCCCCGCTGGAGCGGGGGATGACTGGGTGCAGAGGAAGCTGCCCGTCGCAGAGGGCAAGAATCATCGAGGCGACGGTACCCGAGAAACTATTGAGCGGATTGCGAATGAGACGGGCGTCTTCATCGTTGTGGGCGTCATCGAGAGAGCCGCGGGCAGTTTGTACTGTTCCGCACTTTACGTAGACCCTTTCCGGGGAGTGCTGGGAAAGAGGAGAAAGGTGATGCCTGTAAGTCTTACAGTCCGGTTCAAGCAAATCTAGAAGAGAAGATAGTTGACCTCCAACAGACTGGATCGGAACGTCTTGTCTGGGCCCAGGGTTCCCCATCAACCTTGAAGGCCGTGACTACTCATCTCAACGGGGTCCCCGTGACCCTGGCGGCAGCTATCTGCTGGGAGAACTACATGCCCCTTCTCCGACAGAGTCTGTATTCACAGAACGTGAACATCTATTTGGCTCCGACGGCTGATGCCCGGGACACATGGCTGTCCCTGATGCGGACCATCGCATTCGAATCGCGGGCGTATGTACTGAGCGCAAACCAGTGCGTCCGGTATAACGAACTCCCGGAGTGGGTCGCTGGACAAGAGGATGAGAGTAAGTTCCTCATATCAACCACTCCATTGTGTAGTTTTGTTAATAGTGACAACAGAACCCACCTCCACCGAATACGTCTGCCGCGGTGGTTCTTCCATCGTTGGTCCCCAGGGCCAGGTTCTTGCGGGTCCTATCTGGGAGGTTTCTGCTGACGATGCGTCGGATTCTGCGGCTGATGCCGTGGGAGACGGTCTGATTATCTCGGAGATCGATGTCGAGGACTGCGAACGGGCTAAATTGGACATGGATGTGGCAGGCCACTACTCGAGGAATGATGCGTTCAAGTTGACGGTGGAAGGACTGGATCTCAACCCGCCTCCTCTGTGAATTGCAGTACGGCATATATAGGCGAGATTGTGTAATTCTAGCTGCATTTACTACATATGTGCATGACGAAGTATATAGCTGGAGCCTAGGCTTGTACATACCCCATGTGTCCATGTTGGTCACCAATCTAGATTGAAACCTCAGAAAGTTGATCGAGTGGTAGCACTGTAAACAAGGCATCATTTATCACATAGTACGTCCAATATTTCGAAGTTCGTGGCATTGTCCATGACATCTTTGATAGCTGGGCTCATGAGCATCCTAGAATTGGAGGATACTCACTGTCTGCCATTCCAGCTCAATGAACGCTTAGGGCAACGGGACCCAGTGATCTTCCCCAAGTGTGGGGAAATCCAGACTAACCTCGGCTGCCAAACAACTTACCCCATACTCACTCCGTACTTCCAACGCCCTTATTTAATCCTTTTCGTCAGGTCACTCAACGGTGCAACCAACGACCTGTATCTTGCATCTTTAAACCAGTCAAAATGCCGAATGCCACCCCCAGCTACCCAGCCATTGCCCAACGTAAACAAGCACACCTGGAATCGCAAATCCCAGCAGAATGGACACTTTCCGCTTCTCAGATACCCTCGGGAATGCTCTCCCTGGAGGATTCTATCACCAATGCTAAGCAGTATCAGCGGGTCAATGTCATGGACACCCCCAGAACATGTGGTCTACTCACAGGTAAGGAATTGGAAATTACCGAGAACTGGGATATTCGAGGTCTCTTGCGAGTCATCGCAGAGAAACGGTACACCACGGAAGACGTGGTCAGAGCTTTCTGCAAGGTATCTTTCCCATTGATTTACCTTCTAGTTTTATAATTGGGTTCTATCATACATACTCACATCGTCAGCGCGCGGCAATCGCTCACCAAGTTACCCGCTGCTTGAGCGAGCCGCTTTTCGACCGTGCCCTGCAACGGGCCAAAGACCTCGATCTTCATCTCCAGAATAGCGGAAAACCAATCGGCCCCTTGCATGGTCTGCCAGTGTCCGTCAAAGACTCTTTCCATGTGAAAGGCGTGGACTCGACTACAGGCATAGCCGGGCTCGCATTCAAGCCCGCTACGCAGAACTCGCCTCTAGTGGATCTCCTCGAATCCCTGGGCGCCGTGATCATCGGCAAGACCAATGTTCCCCAGACCATGGGCACGCTGGACAGCTGCAACTACCTCTTTGGTCGGACACTGAACCCCCTCAACCGTCAGTGGACAGCGGGAGGCAGCACAGGCGGCGAAGGCGTCTTGGTCGCCATGCGTGGATCCATGGTCGGTTTTGGTACGGATATCGGCGGCAGTATCCGAATCCCAGCGATGTGTAACGGCATCTACGGTTTCAAGCCCAGTGTAGGCCGTTTTCCCGCCGGAGGCCAGGATGGGGGCCATATTCCCGGCAAAGGAAGGGTGTCCCTGCAAGCGGTTGTTGGTCCCCTGGCGCGGTCGGTGGCTGATCTGGGCGCTATCATGGAGGAAGTTGTGCCTCGCGCGGAGCTGTTCGGGGAGGATTGTATTCCTGGTCGGTGGCATGGTGAATTCCCTTTCCGGTTGCCTGAGACACAGGCTCGGAATATTACCATCGGCGTACTTCGCTCGGACGGTATCGTCGAACCCTTGCCACCTGTCGCCAAAGTGTTGGATGAGGTGGCGCAGACACTGCGGAAGACGCCCGGTATTGAGGTGGTCGAGATTCCCGTGCCGGCGGCGTTGGCCAAATGCCAAGGGCTGGCAGGCAGACTGATGGGCGTAGACGGGGGAAGCGCCATGATGGACTTGCTAGAGAGTACAGGGGAGCCGTTGATTCCCTGGCTGCAGGGCCGAATGAAGCGGGGACGGGAATTGACGCTCTCGCAGCTGGGCCAACTGCAGGCTCAGCGGTCTATCGTCGAACGGGAGCTGCTGAAGATGTGGACTCTCAACAGTGGGACTGGGCGTCGGGTTGACGCTATTATCCACCCAGTAGCCCCGCATCCAGTTCCTGAGATTGACCGCTATAATGCTGTGGGATACACGTCTAGCTTTGTCTTGCTAGATTATCCTGCGGCCACCATTCCAGTCCGTCCCTTCAGGGAGTCCGACCTCGAGAGCGGAAAGGAAATGGACGCCCCGGTGTTGGGAAGCTGGGATAAGACAAACCGGCAGTTGTGTATGTTGCTCTATCTACTACCTTTGATTACCCATTCTAACGCTAGCCAAACAGGGAATGAGAAAACCGTTGATCGCCGCGTATATCTTGGTTCACCGTTGAGCATCCAGGTCGTGACACCTAAGCAGCACGACTATGAGCTGTTCCGAACCATGGAAATCATTGACAGGGCTGTGAGGGTACCGGATACGGAGAAGACAGCAGCCAAGCTGTAGAGCTAGCTCTACACATGTCCCATATGTTCAAATACTTCCAGATATGACAAAAGACATCAATTACAACACTAAATACGCTCACAAAAGTATAGCGATAGAGCATAACATGCTACAGATTGATCTAGATAGGACTCAAAGCTTTCCCTTCAAGTGGCTTCCGCCATCCGTCGCAATGACCGCTCCATTCAGATGGCTGGCTGCCCGACTTCCGAGGAACACGACCAGACCCGCAATATCCTCGGGTCGACCCAGTCTCTTGTTGGGGGAGTAGTCCTCGAGCGACTTCAGCCCACCCTGCAGATTAATCAGGCCATCGGCCATCTTCGACGGGAAGAAGCCAGGGGCAATGGCATTGCACAGGATATGTCTGGGACCCAGCTCGACAGCCAAATTCTTGGTCAGATGAATGACAGCCGCCTTTGAAGCAGAGTAGCTGAAAGTGGCGTTCTCTCCAATACTACCAATCCCAAGCCCAGCAACGGAGCCAGTAACGATGACTCGTGAGGGTTCCTCACGCGTAGCCTTGACAGTAAGCAGAGGAGCAAACCTGTTCCATAATCATTAGCAACCTCGAACATCCCAAACCCAACCCGAAATGGAATACAAAAAAAAGGGGTGAAAAAAGAGTACTCACTTCTGCACGAGATAGAACACACTCTTCACATTCAAATCCATAACCTTCGAGAACATCTTCTCGGGATGGGTATCGAACTTCTCGCCCCAGGTAGCCCCCGCATTCGCAAAGAGAATGTCCACATGGTCCGTGGTCTTCTTCACTTCCTCAACGAGCCGGTCCAGCTCAGAGATCTTCGAGTTATCGGCCGCCACGGAGATGGCCTGTGCGCCGGGTCTCTTGTTAGGGAGCGCGTTGAGGGCTGCCACAGCTTCATCGCAGGCTTGGGCTTTACGAGATGTGATGTAGACTTTTGAGCAGCCTGCTTGAAGCAATCTGTTCTCATACTTCTTGTTAGCGATACATGTGTTTGGCCGTGGTGAAGGAGCGGGATACGCACCCGCTGGCAGCGTGCAGGCCTAGACCTCTGGAGCCGCCGGTGACAACGGCGACTTTGCCCTCGAGGGAGAAGATGGAGCCGAAGTTGTCGAGCTGGACTTGGTCGGCGACGGACATTTTGGTAGCTAGATGATGTTTCGAGATGGTGCTAAGGGCCAGGGATGGGATGGGATGGAATTGAGGAGGGAATGGGAGGGATTGAGCTTGAAGTCATTGTGGAGGTGAATTGCGGTACCAGCAACATACCGAGGTCGTTCGGTCCAGCCGTTGGGATTCCCCCGCAAATCATCTTTTATGAACTCGGCTGATTAATAATCAGAGTATTAACGAGTTATGTCGAGTTAGCCCTAACTGGTTCTCTGCCATCGCCTCAAGAGATTAGATCTAGTTGACGTCCAGCACCGTAGCTTGATTCAATTCTGAATGACCATTCTCCTCGCTCATGTCATTCTGTTCAGTTCCTCAGACTATTGGTCTATTTTTCATATGTCAAGTTGTTGCGAGTTTGACATGTAGACGAAGGAGATCGCCGGATTACAATATAATTCCATCCTGCTAATCTGGAGACTCATTTAATCAACCTTGCCAGTGACTTGTGAGAAGTCAGCAATATTTATACTCCATGATCCCCACAACTTGAAGGAAAATGACGTCCACGGTTGTCCGTGCATTATATGATTCTGGTGGGGCTCTAGCACTTGCTGGTGATTGAAGACTGACTGCCATGCTGCACAGCCCTGATAAACCACAGTCCAATCCATGAAGTACGCATATACCAGTTAGACTGGCCCCATTTGTAATCCACATGCATCTGCGAATCGCACAGACGAAAGCAAGAATGTGCCCAATCGAGCGCCAAAGGTCCCCGAATCCCCTCAAACTCGCTCATAGTGACCACCCGCCAACATGATTGGCCGGATCAAGGTACCTTGGGGGTCCCTAGCATCCATAGTACTTACTATTAGTTAGGTAGTAGTAGGTTTATATTCTCCCTCGTCATGGTCATCGAGCAGAAATCCCTTCCAACCCCTCTTCTCCCTCGTTGTCACCTTCTCATCCTTCACCACCACACACACACACACACACACACACACATATATATATATATATACATACTCTCTAAAACCTCACCCAGAAACCAAGCAAACCACCCAAAATGGCCACCACATTCTCGCTCCCACCTCTCCCCTACGCCTACGACGTAAATCCCACCCTAATCCCCTATACATTGAAAGGGAAAACGCAACTAACGAAATCCCTCAGGCCCTGGAACCCGTCATCTGCAAACAGATCATGGAAATCCACCACCAGAAACACCACCAAACCTACATCACCAACCTCAACGCCGCCCTCGCCGCGCAATCCGCCGCCCTCGCTGCAAACAACATCCCCGAGCTCATCAACCTCCAGCAGAAGATCAAGTTCAACGGCGGCGGCCACATCAACCACTCCCTCTTCTGGAAGAACCTGGCCCCGCACGGCGCCCCCGAGACCAACATCGACCAGGCCGCCCCCGCCCTCAAGGCCGCCATCGAGGCCCAGTACGGCTCCGTGCAGAAGTTCAAGGAGGCCTTTGCCGCCGTGCTCCTCGGTCTGCAGGGCAGCGGATGGGGCTGGCTGGTGGCTAATGGGCCCGGAGGGAAGCTGGAGGTCGTCTCCACCAAGGATCAGGATCCGGTCACGGATAAGATCCCGGTGTTTGGGGTGGATATGTGGGAGCATGCGTATTATTTGCAGGTTGGTTTCTTTCTTTTCTTTTCATTTTCTTTCTTGTGGTCAAATGGTTACTGACAGTGGTTTAGTACTTCAACAACAAGGCCTCCTATGTAGAGGGTATCTGGAAGGTCCTCAACTGGCGCACGGCAGAGGACCGATTCAAGAACGGCGTGGAGGGCTCGGCGCTTCTCAAGCTGTAACTCAACTCTGTCTGCCCAAGGACTTTCATACACACATATAAGTAGATGACCCTGAATACGAACATGAATGAAATTATAAGATCACAAATTCCCCGGGGGGAGGGAAAAAAGGGCAATATCAGCCAGCCCAAAAACACACCCATACACACAAAAACACAAAACACCACCAACTCCAATCCCATCCAATCCAATTCACAACACCCATAAAAGCCAAAAAAAGAAAAGAAAAAAAGAAAAGGACCTCAATCAGTCATACCCCACAATCCCCGTCCCAACCCCCACGGACGACTGACCCTCAACCATCACCGTAACCTGCCGTCCCACGATGCCCGTCTCCGATACCCCCAGATCCAGTCTCTCTGGTAACTCGAACTCCATCTCGGCACGGTCCTTCCCACACGGCTGTAACCGGAACTGGTGCAGTGGGGGGCTCATGCGTGCTGATGTGAGATCTCCATATCGTCTGAATTATACCAGTATCAATGTCAGCGGTCTATTCCATCGAACAAATAGCCCCAGTTTAATGTCACTCTCCCCTCGCCATGACCTGATCCAGGTATACAAGTGGTATACCAGGCAATATACATAATAGTATACAAGCCAACAAAAAAAGAAAGAAAGAAAGAAAGAAAAATAATCAAAGGGATAAAGAACATACTCAATCCGCAAATCAATCCCCCGACACCCCCTAAAAACATCAAAAGTGCCCGCGTCCTCAATGCGAAAGACGGCTTTCGTGCCGGCGTCCATTTCCCGGAAGAATAAAGAATACGGACTCATGGATTTCGAGCTGGCGGAGGGAAACATGACGGCGATGCGGTGGCCGGTGCTGGGGCGGGCGATTCCGCACATAGTGATGGATGGATGTATGGGGCCACGGGTTTAGGGTTATCTGTCGTTGATAATGTATGTATGTATGTATGTATGTATGGATGGATGGATTGGTGGTAGTGGTGGTGGTTTGTATGGCAGAGATTGAGATGGATATGAATGAATGTATGTCTTTCTTTTTCACTTTACTATTACGAATTACTTCTGCTCTACAGAGTATTTAAATATAAATACTCAACCCCCTTGGGACAGTCCCCAAGGTGTTCTGTTCTGTAGTCGGTGGCCGTCCCAAAGGTGCTCAAATCTGCGCAAATCCGCGGCGGATAATGTGGGGCGCGCCTGGTCTGGCCGATCACGACCACCAGGCCAATCTGTGGGTTCAGTTGATTGTCGGAGTGGTTTTGAGGGGATTTGTTTCGTGTTCTTGTTCTTGTTCTTGTTTTTATTAATGGTGTTTTCTCTTTGGTATATCTGGACTTGTCGGAGATAAAGCGTGGGTGTAATTTTCCACAGGGGAGTGTGATACTTTTTGTCGGTCTTGGGTGGATCATGGACATACCGGGACATCATGTATGTCCTGGCATTGTTCGGAATGGGCGTGTTTTTGATTGTCTGCGGAACTTCAAGTGCCGATATTATTAGCGGTCTAGTCAAGAGTCACTCCCTGAAGGATCACTTTGGATTACTTTCTCTACTAGTTCAGGCGGTGATTGTTGGAGTCAGTGGTGGCGCTTTCATTGTCTAGGATCTTGTATCTGGTATCGAAGGTGTCGGAAAGTCACAAATCTAGGCACGTGGATAAAAGAGACGAATGTTGTGGAGTACTCTACACGAAACTGTATCAGACATATTGTAGAAATACAACACACGTAAACTTCAGTGATTAACTATATCAATACCGGAGAGCCTGCTATATACAACTACGCCGCCGCCACCCGAACAGGGTGAGCCTCGGTGTTGTAGACAAACTTGTTGCCCTGGCCGCGCTGGACTTGCCACTCGTTTTCTGTTTCCGTTAGATTACGATTATTGTCCTTTAGTCAGATGAAGACTTACCCGGAGCAAAGGTCAGGTACACGTATTTCAACACCTCAGCAAAGAGGAAACTCTCCTGGTTATCGTATCGGTTTCCACCGTTCGCAGCGTTGACGTTGGTCAGGCCTGCAAACCCAGAGTCGGTGCGGCAGTATTTGTTAATAGCGACAAACGCGTTCCATACCCACTCACGGTACTAATCTGCTGTTAGTGCAGGCTCAAAAAAATAACATGGGGTCTCGAGGTACGTACAATTTCCTGGCCAGTGATGCGCCAGGCGTAGTAGAAACTCTCAATCACCTCCGGACGAAGAATATATGCGCCACTGCTAACATAGAAGCCAGCACGCTCATACAGCTCCTTCTGGTCCGATGGTACGTTCTTGGGATCCCATCCGAAGCTCTCGGGTCCGATACCAGTCAGGGTTTGATTGTACGTCTCGTGGCATCCCTTCACCAGCTCCAGACCAAATTGGATGAAGTCGTCGCGATCCAGGACGGTTCCGCCAAGCAAGAAACTGCCGCCATCAAAGCAAGTAAGGTGCTGGGAGCTCAAGCCAAGTTGGCCTTCGTTGTATGACGCTAGGAAAGTCAGGTCTGGGCGAGTCGACGGATGTGACGCCAAATTTTTGATGCTTGATTCCGCCGCTTTAACCCAGCGGTCTCCGTAGGTGCTGAACCTCTTAGGATCATACACGTACATCTTGATCAAGTATTCGTAGAACGAGTCGTCGCCTCCATTCCAGCTCACAATGGCGTCGGTGAACTGTCCATCGGTGATGTTGATATGGCTTCCAACCAGTCCGTCAAATGGCTCTGCACTCTTTGGTGAGGGGTTGAGCAGATAATCCTCTGCCCTCTGGCTGAGCTTAGCATACTCCGTATCATTAGTCAGGTCTGAGAGCCGGGTCCATTCGAGAACCAATGTACCCGTCACGGCCAGTCCGTTGGTTGCTGCACCATCATTACCGTGCGAAGTAATGTTGATATTGTTGTAGGGAACACCACTGGGAGTGTCAAAGGCGAACTTGAGGACGTCCGCCAGGTTTTGTGATTGATTCAAGAGGACGTTAACCTTACTAGAGTCCTGGACTAGGTCCGAGGCCGGACCCTTCAACAGATCATAGCCCGACAGCATGCCACCCAAGTACCGGATTGTTGTCTCAAACAAACTCACTTGGTCATTGGTCGTAGAGTAATCAATCGTGGCAATATGGTCCAAGATCTGGTTGACGATCGTGGCATTGCGCATAATAACGGCCGTGGATAGGGCGTCCACGGCGGACGCACCCCAACCGTTCCGCGAATCACCGACACCGTTTGAGATGGGGTGCAGCTCGTCATGTGGGTAAGCATATTGCATGTAACCATCCCAGGCATGTACAAAAGCTTCCTTCACGGCATTTGCACGAGACTCGCTGGAGTTACTTCGTGCAACGCGCTGTTCAAGTTTGAGCTGGGGAAAGGCTAGCGAAGGAGTGACGAGGCTCAAAGCCGTGAGCGGCAATGAGAGGGTCGAAAAATGCATGATGAGGGTAGTAATTAGCAATGGGTTTAGCGATAAGGAATGTCGATTATCTCCGTATGAATGAAAGGAATGACAGCCTAATCAGGTAGGCGGACGTTTTTCGAGATATATACTAGTCGAATTGACAAAAGAGTGGAATCACTTCGACATGGGAACGAATGTAAAAGAGTGACAAAGAGGGTGTGTTGAGAGAAAGAGAAGAGGAAGAAAGGAGGGAGAGAGGGAGAGAAGGGAGCTCATGTGTCGCGTGGAGAAGCGAATGATCATATTTTAAATTACAGATTGGCATGGGAAATCAGCCGACCCTTTTGGGTAAGTCATGGGTAGGATCATCCCTCATCTGCCGGACATACTACATTTTGGGCGGAGAATCAACAACATAGAGTTCCAGACTATGTTCGGTTACAGGAACCATCGCCTGTTTGGGCGAACTAAGCCAGATCGATCCAGGCCCGCGCCGATCCGGGATCCATGATTGGGTCGATCGCGTGGATGCTATGCAGGGGAAAAGACTCTCAGCTGCGGCCGAACAGTGAAATGACTAAGGAGTTATTGTGACTGAGCATAACTAATGAAGATGCCTATATGTAATTAGTATTTCATTAAAGACTGCTCTGTGTATAAGTCGATAGACTTATATACTAGTTATATTAGCTATATTAGTTGTCGTTCTTTTTATACTCCTGTATCATCTGTTCGAGTCACACTCCCCGACGGAAGGTGACACGCACGTGAGGAATCAGGCAGCACATTGTTCCCTGAAACCCGGACGAGGCCGAGAATTCGACCGCGGAACTTAAACTGCGGGGTCACGACACAATGACCATCGATATGCTTCCTTCAGGTCATACTACGTACTATCGATGTACTACTCTAGTACGTTCAAACCTCATGCGGTGCGGCCCTAGTGGATATGCCCTAGCGTCTGCGGAGATTAGACCCGCTTGGTTTATAAATAAATACTTCATCCTCAGGTATACTATACTTCTCCAGTTAACGCGTTTTATCAATAGTTACTATGATTGGTTATTGATACTACCAGCTGTCCAGCAATTTAAGAGTTTGGACAGTGTACTACGGAATCTCCAAACTGTCTCTTGTCGTGTCCGACCAAGGTCTAGCGATTCATCATCTGGATGATGGGCATGACAGTCACCCGACGGTCGCGCGACTAGTTGACTAGTGTGGAAAAGACCCCATATTCCTCCTGCCCAGTGCACACCAAGAATCCCAATGAAATCAATTTGTCCACCAAAGGATACACAGAGTTCAAGAGTATGCTTCACAAGTCTGGCACCTCCTATACAAACTCGACCCAGATTATGGATAAAAGCAGATCACCTGAATGACACTTGAGCGCTTGGAAATCTTTGATCTAATCGCAACCCTTGAGAGCATGACCCTTTTGTGAGCATACGCCGAAGAAAAGCGGAAGAAGAGCCATGGATAATCCTTCAACCAGTCCGAATACCAATCAAGACTGACGTTGGTATTATCCTACGATGTATAGTTCGGTGGAGTGCTCTGATGTGATTTCCATGCAGAGAAACTCCTTGTGTGAGAAAGAGTATGACCATGGGTGCAGGTTTCTCTGTCCACATTAGGCGTATATGGCCATATCTCTGGAAAACGTAGCGGTAGGCTAAGGACACAGGTTTTACCTATACAGTTGCACAAAACATTTCCCACCAACTTTACTAACGACATCTTATTGGTTGTCATGCATGCACGAGATCAGTAAGCAGGATTACATGGCAGCCATCTCAGAGTTGTGAGGCGCGATGCTGTAAATTTTAACGAATCCATGCAGCCTTGAGATATGCCCGTTTTATCTCTCCTTTCTAGCTTTGACCCAAGTCCTCCACACCTAGATTAGTCTCACCAACGATGCCGTGGCAACCAGTGTCGACTAATCGCTATGATCGCGCATTCGACTCACTGGAGAAGTTCTATCGAGGCATTGCAGAAGTCGGTGCCCCGTTGCAGAAGCAACATTATCTGATCTTGTGTTCCCTTTAACTCCAACATCTAGCCCCTGTTAAGGAGGTGCGCCAGGCATGGAAAGCTTTGCGGCGGCAGTATCCTCAGATTGCGGCTGTAGAAGATGAACCCGGCACACGGCTGACCGACACCGTGCCGTCGCCAGAAGAACTCGAAGCATGGGTGCACGACACTTTTTTCGTGGAGGTGGGGAATTCCGCTACACATCTCTACCAGACACTGTCGCCATCCTCGCTCTTCTATCTATACTACCTCCCGAGATCCTGTGAGCTGCTTTTCCGCACCCCACATTGGCGCGTCGATGGCATCGGGTTGATGTACCTGCAAGCCACCTTTCTTCGCATTCTGGCCGACGGCCCGGCCGAGACGCAGCTAGATGGCTCAGAAGCTGCCCGTCTAGCACCATCCTTAGATAAGGCTGCCCTGGTGCCGCCAGAGGTCACTCCAGCCCTGTCCGAGGCAGCGGATGCTGAGTTGGAGGTGCTTCTAAAGGGTCTGCCTGGGGTATCGATTGCCACGCAGCGGAGGATCCTCCCTGGTACGACGCGGCGTCTCCAGTGTGGGGCCTCAAGACAAACGACAAAACGTATTATCGCCGCCTGCAAGGCGCGCAGACTGACCGTCATGACAGCGGGGTATGCAGCCCTGGTACTGACCAGGCTGCCTCTGGCGCAGCAGAATTTTGACCTGACTACGCGTGGGCGCGTGGGCGCGTGGGCGGCAAGTACAGGGAGTTCAATCTCTTCGATCTTCGTAAGTACCTGTCTGCCCCGTACAACGGGCCTGACGCAGCGGCGTTTGCTCGGGGATACAAGCGGGATCTAAGTCGCGAGGAACCCAGGAATATCTTTACCTTCCTAGCCGAGTATGTGCGCAAGATCCTAGGGTTGTTAGGAGCAGCTCCATCCGACCCATTGCAGGCGCCGGCGCATCCTGGGCTGAGCTCGGTCGGAGCTGTCAACGATTATCTTCCGCCTACTACTCACCAACGTGTGGACTTGGGATGGCCAGGTGCAGCTTGCGGTCCACTGGAACGAGTCGTTCTATAGGAGGGGTTTGTGACGACATTCTTGGACAGATGGATGCTGAGTCTGAAGCGGGAACTCGGGGTAAACTAGGTAGCTTGACCTGGTTTCATCAGAATACTACTTGAATGACTAGAATAAATATTAGAGTTCTCGTTTTGTACTTCGGGGCTGACTTCAAGAGGGCCTGGAGTAGTTCAGACGGCAAACTACTTTAGCAAGAGAATGGGATGTACGGAAGTTGAGGAGACCTTACTTGAGTGTTGCCCGTTTTTGTGATGATTCAAAGATGCCAGATCCATAAATCTATTGACCCCCCCCCCCCCCCCCACAACTCTTATCTTACTCCAAAGTGTTAGAAAAAAAGAGGACATTATGATAGTTCCGATGAATCCGCTTTGTTCATTCCTATTGACATCTCACCTTCATGATATTGGCACCTCAATAAAACAGGTCGTAAATATGATTAGACAACGGTAATCATGGATGGCTGCCATGTGAACTGGAAAAAGAAAGGAAGGAATTCCTGATATGAATGTGTGATTTCATAAGACTGGGACAGCAAAAAAAAAGAAATTGTAAAGCTGAGCTCCTATATAGACAAGCTCATACAATAGATTTGAGAGCTCCATACAGTGTCTATCCAATAAAAGATACAGCCATGCAGTCACACGCTTTTTGGTGATTACAAAGGTTTTGCCACGAATCCCTTCCAATGTTCTATTTTAGTCATGGGATGAAAGACAGATAAATAATGGATGTCGCATCTGAAAGGAATGAACAAAGAGGGAGTGTCACATTCGTTAAAATAATCGAAAAGTCACATTTAAACTAGATTTTCGGTACCCAGAATATATCCATTGGTGTTATTGTTTGTGCTATTCTTAGAGCAAAGTGAGAAAGAAACTTAGGGCACTGACACAGATTCTGTCTAGATAAGAACCACTGTAAAGGTTGTTAACTGTAGTAAAGGTTTCCATACAGACAAAGGCTCTTATGGCGCATGAATGCTTGCTTCATGGATGTCTTACCTAACCTTATATATAATTGACTCTCAGAGCTTAACGTATCACACCTTCATTTACACAGATATACTTAGCACCTCTACTAGTCCTGTTTGGCTGAGCACATCACTTGGCACATGACTGTCCTCCCTTCTGTTAAATGATATAAAGAAATACCGATGTGTTAGCTGACTGCTAAATCAAAGACTTCCAGAGGTAAACATTGTTGATACCGTTGATACATAGATTCATTTCCCCCCTGCCAGAAACCTTTCTTTTCCGTTCTTAATATACCAACTTCTTGAAATTCCTCTATTTACGGGCACTTTCACGGACAGTTAGCTGAAAATGGCAGGCATAGTTTGCAACATACCTTGGGCTCCAGGTGCTTTGAAGGATATCTGTGTGCTATTCACTGCACAAGGCCAATCCCACTCCCCTGTCTCGTCCTACCACAATGTCCAGTACTAGCGATATGGTATTCACTGAGACTGCGGGACTTCTAAGGATTGGTGGACCAAAGCTCTGCGAAATACCGTACAACATCCACGACATCCGAAATGAACAAATTCCGTTTTATGAACTTCAGTCTCTTGTCCGAACATTGAACATCTGTGCGTCTATAGATGTTGTGGAGTGCACACCGTGCTATGACGATTCTGCAGAGCCAATCCCAACATTACAAGTTTGTGTAGACCCGCGAAGAAATGAGTCTCGAAAGAACTGGCTCCACGCAGCACATGAACTGCACGATCTTCTTTGCAGATACGGCCTCGAATATATGACAGTTGATATCATTGACTGGCGCCTGGAACAAGGTCCCGGCATTTTTTTATGCGAACCGACTGACGCAATCTTCTCCGGATGGGATACGGTTCGCAAACAGATCCTAGACTCTGTTGATGTGTCTGGATTCCAGTTGCTAGGTTGCTATCGCATGGGATACGAAACTTGTACTGCAAACTGCAAACCAACTATACTCGTCACCGTCGATCCAAAATTTGAGCGAGACTGGACTATCGCTAAGCAGGATATCAGTAATATCTTGAACAAGCTCGAACTTGCAGTTGACGTGCAGATTTATAAAGATCGCAGCATCTTCTGCGCCCGCCGACCGTCGATTCAGAGCGAACTCAACTCACGGCATCCTACTCACATGGAGAACTGTCCAAGAGTAGCGACCATTGGACACAGCGTGGGTGCTCATAATAGCGACCGCTACGGCACCTTTGGGGGATGGCTCAGTATACGGCAAAAGCCTGACTCTGAATGGGAACAATTTGGTTTGACATGTCGCCATTGCATCTTCGGCAACCCCCTCGAGGACCCCGTAATACACGACCCCACAGCTGAAACGCTGAAGCATGTGGGAGACAACGGGCTCAGTCTACCTAAGTCGGCGCAGGAGGTCGATTGTCCAAGTTACGGCGAAATCAAAGGGTATATCGATGGACTCAAGGAGACTGTCTCCGACCTCAAGAGACAACATCCTTATCCCGGCTTGGAAGAACTTAGATTATATAAAGACCCCTTGGATGATCTGTCGGAAGCATGCTGGAAAAAGCTCCGAGCCCCCATCGATGCTTACGAAGGCTGGATTGCAGAGCTAGAGGTCTACTACCATTCAAATATGCATAGGTTTGGCGAGGTTTGGGCACATTCTGGCGACGGCCCTCGGACTACGACCACAGTTATGGACTGGGCGCTTTTGAAGCCCTATCCAACTCGAGCATATCCATCTAATAAAGTGAGTTTCTACTGCTTTCCATTCGAGGATCGCTTGATTGAGGAATTTTTAGTTTGGTGGATTCGCCCATCAACATGATCCAAGGAGTCTGAAAGTCGAAAACGGGTTTATCGAGGACAGTATCTCATTGAATCATCACGATATCCTTCACAAGTGTGGTTGTATAACGAACGTGACTACCGGCCAATACAACATGCTTGCCACGACGGTTTTTACTGTTGCAGCAAATGGAGAACAACGCACGACCGATGAGCATTCGGTCATTTGTAAAAGAGATAAGTCTTATTTTGAGCCTGGGGACTCGGGATCCCTTCTCTTCACCGAATCGGGAGCGATGGTCGGAATGGGCTTTGGGGCACAAGTCGGGGGACAAATCGTTGTTTTCACTCATGTCAACGATCTCGTCGCCGACATCAAAGGTCAAACGGGGGTTGATCAGGTCACCTTTTATGCACAGGAATGGACTGATGAGGTGTGCGAGGAAGAGTGACTGTTTTCTTATTCACTCCTATCAAATCTCGGCAAATGTATTGGTTTAGTGTCCATCTAAAAAAGGGTCTCGGCCAATCAGGCCATACTGTTAGGTAAAAGACATCGCCCAGGTCAACTATGAATTCATGGAGACAACATCGGTGGTGTCACAAATAATATGAGACGGAGGAACCAAATCAAGGACTCTTTTAATAAAGACTCGGTCCAGCACGGCTTGACCCGAACTCAATGTAACTACTAACCACCAGTTCTTTGTTCCTGAAATTCCAGGCCCCCGGTGGCCGCCGACTTGTCCGATTGCGGGGCCGACAGGAATTTCTTTTTCTATGGCGATTGAATGAATCATCCCGCAATCGTTCTTGACTCTTGACATACTCCCCCCATTACTTCCCTCCGGGGCTTTTAGAATTCCTACCTGCTTTTTCAATTCCCTCAGAGAGTGATACACTCAATCATCAATCAACTCTTGTGACCTATCCTGTTCACAACATCTCTCTCTCCGTCCCACCCCTCCTGCCCCTCCTTCTCCTTCTCCCTCTCCCCCATTGAGTCACCACCATGGCGACTCCATTTCTCGTCTCCTTCGACCCTTCGGCCCCTGGCCTCTCACTCAAGCAGATTGCCTACTTCGGCCGTGTTCTGGTCAAGGCCTCCAGCGTCGCTCAAGCCGAAGAATTCCTGCGTCAGAACTTCCGTCTGCTGGACGTCTACGTCGATGCCACCGCGATTTCCACCACCGGTGACCTCGTCGATATCCTCAATGCCGGTGCCGCGAAGATCTTCATTACCCTAGACCAATTGACCGCCCTCTCCCAAGAACAGTCCGTTCCCTCGTCACGAGTCGTCGTCTATACTTCTTCCGACAGCCAGGTGGACTCCTTCCAGAAGTGGGTGGCTGAGGATGCCGAGCGGAAGGAAGCCGGTCTCTCTACCGATTCGTCCGCCGTGAAGGCCTTGGTCGACAAATTGGGCTTAAACCCCGAAGCCCAGAGTCTCTACCGGACGTACTCCGGCGCTATTACCGAGGAAACTCTGAAGGACACCTTCACCCAGGGTGCGGTCAGCATCGTGCCCGCGCAAGCCTTGACTCTTGATCGCAACCAGGCCGACGGCAAGATTGTCGCCGCCTCCCTCATCGCAGCTCGTGCAGTCGCTGATCAGAGCAACGGTCTCTATGCTACCACGGTGACCGACGAGAGAGGAACCAGCCTGGGCCTCGTTTGGAGCAGCGACGAGAGTATCTCTGAGGCGCTTCGCACGGGTACTGGTGTTTACCAGAGCCGTAAGCGGGGCCTCTGGTACAAGGGTCAGTCGAGCGGCGATGTACAGGAACTGATCAGAGTTGGCTTCGATTGCGACAGCGATTGTTTAGTGTTCGTTGTCAACCAGATCGGTCGAGGCTTCTGTCACCTTGGTACCGCCAGCTGCTTCGGTCCTTACAACGGTCTTTCGCGTCTGCAGAAGACCCTGCAGGCCCGCAAAGCCGATGCCCCCGAAGGTTCCTACACTGCTAGGCTCTTCAATGAGCCCAAGCTCACCCAGGCTAAGATCATGGAAGAAGCCGACGAGCTGTGCCGCGCAAACACCAAGGAAGAGATTGCCTTTGAGGCCGCCGATCTCCTCTACTTTGCTCTGACCCGCTGTGTCGCAGCTGGTGTCAGCCTGGAAGACGTCGAGCGGAACCTGGATCTCAAGAGCCTGAAGGTGAAGAGAAGAAAGGGCGACGCCAAGGGTCCTTGGGCAGAGAAGGCCGGTCTGACAGCTCCTGCCTCTGCTCCCGCTCCTGCCCCCGCGCCTGTGGAGAAGAGCCAGCCCCCGGCCAAGGAGGACAGCCGCATTGAGATGACTCGTGTCATCACCGCATCGACCCCAGTGGAGGATGTTAAGGCTTACCTGAAGCGTCCTTCGCAGAAATCCAACGATGCGATCATTGGCCTGGTCCGTCCGATCATCCAGGATGTCCGCGAGAACGGCGACGCCGGTGTTCTCAAGTATACTCACAAATTCGAGAAGGCTACATCCCTCACCTCCCCCGTCATCAACGCCCCATTCGCACCGGAATTGATGCAGGTGTCGCCCGAAACTAAGGAGGCGATTGATGTTAGTATTGCCAACATTGCCAAGTTCCACAGTGCGCAGAAGGGTAGCAACGATGGCCTCAAGGTCGAGACGATGCCTGGCGTTGTTTGCTCCCGCTTTTCACGAGCCATTGAACGTGTTGGTTTGTACATTCCCGGTGGAACCGCTGTGCTGCCTTCGACCGCCATGATGTTGGGTGTCCCTGCCATGGTTGCTGGCTGCAAGAAGATCGTCCTTGCTTCGCCCCCTCGTGCCGACGGCAGTATCACGCCCGAGATTGTCTACGTTGCTCACAAGGTCGGAGCGGAGAGTATTGTGCTGGCCGGTGGTGCCCAGGCGGTTGCTGCCATGGCGTACGGCACGGAGAGCATTAGCAAGGTTGACAAGATCTTGGGTCCCGGTAACCAGTTCGTGACCGCCGCTAAGATGCTGGTCGCCAACGATACCTCTGCGGGTGTCAGCATTGATATGCCAGCCGGTCCTAGTGAAGTCCTGGTGATTGCAGACAAGCAGGCCAACCCAGCGTTCGTTGCCTCGGATCTGCTGAGCCAGGCCGAACACGGTGTCGACTCCCAAGTCATTCTCATTGCCATTGACCTGAATGAGCAGCAGCTGCAGGCCATCGAAGATGAGGTGGACAAGCAGGCCAGAGCACTCCCCCGAATGGACATTGTCAAGGGATCTCTGGAGCACTCGGTCACCTTTGTGGTGCGTGACCTTGCCGAGGCGATGGCTCTCAGCAACGAGTATGCTCCGGAGCATCTCATCCTGCAGATTGAAAACGCGGAGGCCGCTGTCGAGCAGGTACAGAACGCTGGAAGTGTCTTCATTGGCCAGTGGACTCCGGAAAGTGTCGGCGACTACTCGGCCGGTGTGAACCACTCTTTGCGTAAGTCTTCATCGCTTCTTTCACAATCAAGTACTAGTAGCTAACTCGGATCCAGCAACCTACGGATACGCCAAGCAATACTCTGGCGTGAACCTGGGATCGTTCCTCAAGCACATCACCAGTTCCAACCTGACGGCCGATGGATTGTTGGCCTTGTCGCGCACTGTTGAGCAGTTGGCGGCTGTGGAAGGCTTGGATGCACACAAGCGGGCTGTGAGCATCCGAGTGGCCCACATGAAGGGACAATAGATCCAGGAGCCAGGGATATGTGGTGTTTCTTTTCGGCTTTCACGACCTCGACGGTTATGGTAATTTGAATGGTTTACGAATGCTTAGCAGGTGTGGGTTACCAAAATTGAGCAGCTTTAATTGATGAAGAATATCAAATAGCAATGGTATCCTGCAGTAAATCTCTATACAAGTACACGACCCATGTAGAACACTTTTCCCAAGCCATACACCCAGAAACAGCCCAAATGCAAACACAGAAGAAAAAAAAGAGAAGGAAAAAAAAGGGAGAGAATGTAGCAGGAATCATCAGTCGTATGGTGAGAATAATATCAAATCACTTCTTCCGCTCACGGATCTTCCACTTGATCCCATTTTTGTTCGTCCCTCCGACGGCGTTGTCCATCCGTCCACGCTGCCAATCCAACTGGCGCTCCGCAGCTGTGATATCGTTGTGCTGCTTCTGAAGCGCGGCCAGCTTGTTCTGCTTCGCCACATGAGCACGCTGCTTGATCTTCCGAGCGCGACGAGCCTCCTGAAGCGCCAGACGATCTGCCTCCAGCTCCCTCGCAGTCTTTTTCCGCTGAAGATCTCCAAACGATGCTTCCCTCTCCTCATCAGCCCCCTCCTCTTGCACCCGCTTCATCTTCAAAGCCCTCTGCTCCAGCTTGTCATCCGCAAAGACCGTCTTCTTCGGCCCCGCCTCTTCCTCCTCCTCGGACTCCTCATCGAAATCAAAATCAAGCTCATCATCACCCTCATCCCGCACGGGCGCCTTCTTCTTCTTCGGCCTCTTCCCCACCAGACTCTGCACCATGCCATCCTGCAACTGAATCTCCTGCTCCAGCTTATCCATCTGCCGCCGAATCCGCTCGCCCGTCGTCCGCAAGTACCCCGCATCCTGCGTCTTCAGCAACTTGATCGCATCGTGACTGAGTCCCGCCGCCGAGTCGCGCGACGCCGTACCGTGTTTGCCCGCCTTCTGCGAGTGCGACGACATCATCCCAAAGGCGAATTCATCGGGGTTCCGGTCGCGGACCTTTTCTTCCAGACGCTTGAGCTTGGCCTTCTTCTGGTTGTAGTCTTTTGCACGGAGGGAGTAGTCCTAATTTCCATATTGTTAGTTTCCATTTTCTAGAAGCAAGTGAACGGCGATAGATATTCTGTCACGTACCTTGTGCTTTTCAAGGATACCCCATTTTTCACGGCCCTGGATCTGGCCTCGCTCCTTGTGATTCCGTCTTTGGACGGCATTGCGCATGGACGACATTTTTGGGTGGTGGTGGTGGTTGTGAATTAACTATTATTATTTGTATTTTGATTTTGATTTTGATTTTATTTTTTTGCTTCTGTTTCGAACCGACGATAAATAGCGTGTGTCAATCAGAGTATAAAATCAGGAAATTATAAAAAAGAGGGGGTTGTTGTCAAAGACCCCAAAACAGTGTCACAAAAAAGCAGAGAAAGAAAGAAATGGGGTGCAGATTAAAAAAAGTTCTCCGACTCGGCCTAAGCGGAGAAAGAACTGACCTTCACTTGACAACTTCAAAGCTCGGTGTGGAACCAACTCAAAACTCCCACCTCCTACACTTGTTCCACACGCCACGATTTTCTTACCGGGATCCCCATTTCCACAAGCCCGAGTAATTGGACTCCTCCCGGGATCGAATTGACCGTCAACGCCATTTAACTACTACTACTACTACTACTACTACTACTACTACTACTCCTCCTACGATTCCTTCCTACCTTACCTCCCCGGGGTCGAAGTCGAACGCAGATCATCTCTCTCGCGTTACTCCGATAGGAACAACCAACACCAACAACACTCACTCACTCACTCACTCACTCACTCCCCCCTCGAAGGGATTCGGTTCTCTCTTTTTTTTTTCACCGTGTATATACATCGCATATCCCAACCAGTGTAGAACCGACCAAGATACCATCCATAATGTCGACAACAACATCCACATCAACGCCCTCGACGGGCACGAAATACAACCTTCGCAATCCCCTCCCCCTCTCCGCACCCCAAGAACAAGAAGTCAAGAAGATCTTTCACAAAAGGGTACGAGCGCATTGCGCGGAGGAAATTAAAGGTATTTCTCTTTTTTCTTTTTTCTTTTATATATATATGTCCATGTGTCTATGTGTCTGTGTCTTGTGGAGGGGTTGGTTGGCTGTGTGGGCATTCGATGCTAATGGGTAATAAATACAGCGTTCGCTCAATGCGCTGTCAATCGCACGATAACGGCTACCTGGGTGTGTCGCGATCAGCGGCTGACCATGAACTCGTGTATGCTTGCGCATGCGAAGCCGGAGGAGGAGGATCGCGCCAGAGAGGAGTGGTTTGCGACGTATGAGGAACGGCGGAGGGAGAAGGATGAGGATCTGAGGAAGGTCGAGCAGAGGAGGGAGGAGATTATTCGTATGATGAGGGAGGATGAGGCGAGGTCCAAGGCGAGGTGATTTCTTCTTTCTATCCTTCCTTTTTTGTCTTGGGGTGCTGTTCTTGGGGGGAGTTGTCGGTGAGTGGTGTGGACTGACTGGCGGACTGACTGTACTATTTATTCCTTGTTCATGTGTGCTTTTGGTGTGATTTAGGCGTTTCTTTTCTTTTCTGTTACTGTTTCTCTTGCCAGTTTCTGTTGCATTAGGATTGCAAGTCGTATATCATTATGTACAGTAGATCATGTCTGTTGATATCCTACAGACTCAATGAAAGCAAATCTCCTCCATCAGATCTGTTGTCTGGCTGATAGTATTGACGGTATATAACTTGTTGACCGAGCGCCGAACTCCCAATCGCCAGTCCCATCCATATATTTTTCTTTTCCTTTTATTTTTTTCAAGAGAGAGAAAGAGAGAAAGCAAGAAGAGGGGGGAAAAGAAAGGATTAAACGTCCGTCATGTCTTTGTCTCCATCGTCATCTCCATCTCCATCTCCCATAACAGCATCCTCGCCGAAGATATCCTCCATCTTCCCATCTTCATCCTCCTCGCCTCCATCGCCCTCCTCCTCACCACCCGCACTGGCATGATTACTCTCCTTCGGTTCCTCCTCTTCCTCCACCTCTTCCTCCCCTTCACTCTCCCACTCGTCCTTCATGTTCCACCCAACGCCTGTCAAACAGAACCTCTCCGGCGGCAACCTCATACCCCCCATAAGAACACTCTGATTCGCCGTCGGCTTCGCCTGGCCCTGATCATACCCCCTCGTAGCACCTGGTAGGGCCACACGATTCCTCTCCGCCGCAACATCCATCAGGAACTCCTTCGGCAACCCGGTCTGAAACTGATAATGCAAGCGCGACGCAATGCTGAGCCGCAACGCCGGCAAACTGACGGTATTCACCTCGGGTGGGCCCCTGGCCGAACCGGCCTGCTCACCCACTGCGCCAGCATAGCCCTCCGTCGCAAGATGGACGGCGTCCTGCAGGACGCCGGCGGTGTAGCGGTAGGCGAAGTCGAGGAGCTGCAGGGGCACTCGTTCCTGGTATGAGGTGACGCCTAGCGAGGCGAGGAGCATGTGGATGAGACGGACATCTCGGGGGCGACGGGACTTGCCGCTGTCTTTTAATGAGGTGGAGGGGACTTGTGTGGGTTGTGCGACTGGTGCGCTGGTGGTGGATCCGGTTGCGGGCTGCTGTTGGGAGGCGTTGGTGGTGGTGTTATTGTTGTTGGTGTTGGCGGGCTCGGCGGGGGGTGTGAGGGGTTGGGTTGATGGGGCGGCGGTTTGCGATTGGTTTGGGGAGGCCATTGTCTTGTGGGTTTGCGGTGGTTGTGAGATTGAGGTTGGATGTGAGCGAAGGTTGCTTGGTTAGCTGTCCCCGTGGGATGCGGTGGAATTTAGTGATCGTGGACGGCGTCACTTATGGCCAAGTCGGCATGGCCACTATACGTCGGTACCGTGGTGGGGTATTAGGAAAAGTAAATAATATGCTATGTTCTTCTCGAGAAAAGACTGACAAGAAGGTAAAGTGGTGTTGCGGTCAGTGAGTGAGCTGGTGAAGACGCGAAGAACATTGAAGGTCAATGATCCCGATCTGCGCTAACCCGCTTCTGGTAAGCCAGTGGTGACCGATTGATTCATACCTTTTGAACCCAATAGCTTCTCGACATTCTCTACGATTGATTCATGGAACCATATTATACCATTGACACTTCGCTTCACACAAGACAGAATTACGCTTATATATAGTCTAATGGTCTATCTCCGGTTGCAACCATGCAGCAGTCATAGAAAACCGCAGGCCGTCCTGCTGCTTGTATATCACACATGAAACCTGGAAACGCTCACCATATGAAATAAAACAGGGAAATCACCGATGCAGCCTGTCAAACGCCAACTATGCAAAAGAAATAACACCACAGAATGCAAGGGCCAATCTCAGATGCCGGAAAGGCATATAAATACAATGGTCAACGCCGGGAAGGGTATCTATGAGCGTTGAAAGCCGCGTATAGTTATTACACTTGTTGTGTGGAAGCCCGGTCATTCTCAGCGTTTAGGAGAGGGGCTAGCACCAGCAGTCGCGAAGCGACTTGGTTTTGGAGTCACGTTAGACCCGTCGTCTGCGCCTTCGTCGTCCGCTTCATCATCTTCTAGGTGACTCTGACCATCGGTGAGGTCAAGTGAGGCCTGCGAGATATAGCTGTCACCAAGGTCTTCCTCGGCATCCTCATCAATCTCACTGCCGTCTTCATCACTCAGCTCCGCATCATAATCATCTTCCTCTTCATCTTCCTCGTCCTCGTCCTCTTCGTCTTCTTCATCCTCACTATCTGAGCTTGAGAAATCGGCCAGCTCTGGTGGAGGTTCACGCCAGTAAGTAAAATCAGTGTACTCTTCACCCCCAGCCTGAACAAGTAGACTAACGGGCGGGAAGAAATGATCCAAGAGCTCCCGCATGGTAACGTAGCTGCTCTTATACTTGTTCAGGCTGAGAAGATCTAGGGACACCTCGGCGTTCGAGTTGATCGTGAAAATCCTGGTAGACGGGATGTTGACAGATCGGTAACTCAAAGCGTCGGTCAATCGATTACCAAATCCAGCATAGAAGGGATTCTCTTTTCCATTGAAGAGGTTCAGAATGTCCCGGAGACATGCCATCTTGAACACTTCTGGTTTCCTCAGATAAATCTCTCGCCTGAGGGCTGCAATCATCCGGTCGGGACTCGTGATAACGGGACCTTTGGGCAGTCTATATCCGTCCTGGTTAACGCCGTAGATATATGCGCGAGTAGTATCTGCCTGGCCAACAGATCGGCTAGTAAGGTACATAATATTGTAGCCGTTGTTGACGATATCTGTGTATAGCTTAGCTACTCCAGCGTGTGTCCAGTCGCGGCCAATCATATTCAACACATGGCCCAACGCATCGGATCTACCAGTTATATTAGTCAAAGATGGGCCAAGAATGGTCAGTCTGCCTCATGGGAACTCACTTTGTAATGGTCCCATCAATATCTGATATGACAATCGGTGTGTTTCCGTTCCACAGATACATGGTTGCCGTGCAAGTGGCTCTGTTGACGCTGAATGACATATCATTGGCGCCTGGCTTTAAGTTCAAAGCCTTAAGCTGATCGCTCGTCAGGCGCAAAGTCTTCGCGTAGTTGCGAGTTGTCTCTCCAGGAGTCGGTGACTGTGGAGGGGTAGGGATACCCGGCTGAACATCAGACTGGGTGCGATGGTGGCGGGTCTGGATCGGCGAGTCACGTACGGACTTGTCACCGTCACTATGATACCCGGGGTCGGAGATAGCGTTGTCACTCATCGCAGAGCCGGGCCTCATTGAGCTAAACGCGGCACGGCGGTTAGCGGTTTCCTTTGCTTCCTCACTGCTATAGATCCACAGGTTCCCATGCTCGTCAGCTCCTATCAGGGCGCCAATATCGTAACACCCTTCCAGCTCTTCAGAGAGGATTTTACGTGCAATGACTTCAGCACGGAGAGCGTCCTCCTCGTTGCTTTTGTAGCCAGTCATGTCAAGCATAAGATCGCCCGTCTCAGTCACATGCGAGCGGATATTTGACCCAGAGAGCTTCTTTGACAGAGCTGTTGCACGGGAAACAGCGTCTTCCAGAGACAGGGGGGGAGGACTCCGAGAACGGGCCAGATCAGGATCATCGGTTGAACCTGCTACGTGCAAACCATAAACCTGGTCTGCCGCACTATGCGTCTGGTTCAGGAGAACGTCGTCTGAAACCGCACGGTCCAGCTTCCCCGGTTCTGGTTCATCTCCGAACGAACCATGACGAGACCTGCTCGTACTAGAGTCACCTGGCGACCCTGACAAAGGTGTCATCGTTCCTATAGGCTCAACAATGTTAGATCGAACCCATAGTAGGAGTGATATACTTTGCCGCACCTAAATCACTGGTTGCCCGCATGCTCCTTGACAGTATGGGAAGACTTTTCGGCTCGTTGCCATTTCCATTAGAAGACGATCGATCTAGATCCAGATAGTCGGGTTCCTGGAGAGAGCCCGGGAGGATTTCTTCGCTACGCGTTCTCGGGCTACCCGTCGGCGACACTAATGGCGAGGTCTGTAAGGAAGCGGGGATTTCATCTGACGTCTCAAACACAAAAAAGGCCTCCCCGCCCTCCCCGAGCTTCATGGAGTAATTTTGCTTGAGCCCATTGACTTTGAACTCCACCTTCAGAGCGCGCGGTCAGATGAATAGCCATTAAATTCGTGATAGATGTATCGTACCTTCTTTTCATAGGGACGGAGCAATGAGAACTTGCCAAAGCGAACGTGAAAAGGAGAACAAGCGAGTGTGCCTGGATGCGACCGTTTAGCAACTATGGGATGAATCAAATGGCGCGCAAGTAAACGGACCGTCTTCTTGTTCAATGACGATTACATCAATGGCCCCGCTCAAGGTGGCTGGATTGATAGAATTCCAGGTCTTGGAGACGGAGCCACTGATACTGCGCACGTACTGCATCCTGCAACGTATGATGGGGAAGACCCCTCGATGATTTCAAACGATCGGTGAAGAAAAGGCGAACGATCGAGTCCAAGGCGGAAAACAAAAAAAGAATGCAAAGGCAGTGAGTGATGGAGGGGGTGGTTAGAAGGAATCGGAGGTCGCAGGAATTGCCGCCTACATACGGCCCATGTGACAAAGCCCCAGAGGCATGAACGAACGTAGCCGCTGTATAGACAGACTGCTGCGAAAGCAAACCAAATGTGAAACAGGGCCGCTCGCAAGTGAAGCGAACGCAATGTGGCAGTCGGAGAGAGGGACAAGTCAGCCAATTAATTAGTAAAAAAAGGAGCCAGGTCCAAGTGGTGGAAGATCTAGATGTTGGCTGTTGGGAGTCCCTCAACGGCCCAACGAGCAAGCCAAGGTCACGGGCTTCTTGCCTCTACAGTTCCTCGGCATGAGCCGGACGAGCGTGGCGCTAACCCACATCCAGCAGACATTTCCTGTATGGGGTGACTGCCATGATCGGCTTAGTCAGGGTTCTGCAGGTGACTAAGATTCCCCCGTTCCAAGTGCGGACGCATCACATGACCGCGCCCCACATGACTGCTTCCGCGGATACTCTGTTGGAGATGCACCTTTAGTTGCCGACCGTACTTGACGATTGCCCCGAAAAAAAGTGGATTTCGAAGAGGCTGGCTTCGCTCGCCAATCTGTCTGTTTCCCCTCTTCTGTCATACCCGTCTCCATGGGTATCCGACGCTGGGATGTATGAGCCGCTGCATCTCTCTTTTGACGCCTACCCTAGCGTGGTCCCTCGAGTAAGGGTACGAGGTGTCATGGCTCTCTTCCTGGCCGTCACCATTCTTTGGGCCTTGATCTGGTACGTTCCTTCAGCTTCGATATTCAACACCGTGTCCCATCTAACGGTCCTGGCCGAAGGTTATTGTATCGCGCATGGCAAGTCTGTCAGACTCCGAATGATGTCCTAGTGGAAAAACTCGGATTGGACATCCCTCCGCCACCAGAGGTTACACTAGAGGAGATCACCGCCCGCGAGATTCGCATTGCCTGGAAACAACCGGAGTTTCACAACTCAATACACAAGCATATCATTCAGGTGAATGGATCCAAAGGTAAAAAAAAAAAACATCTCTTTCACCTCTTCTTAGTGCTCTTGGTGTTGCAGCAAAGGCTGACGGTCATTGTTAGTGGGCGAATCAAAACGAGCGGAAACCGCGGTGGAAATCTTAAATCTAGCACCAGGCAACATATATCATATCTGCGTTCTTTCCGTTAGTGCAGCCAATTTCCAGACGCCTAGTGCTATTATTCACGTGCGGACGCAATCTCTTCCTTTATCCCAAGCTCAGCAAAATGCGCCTGCTGGAGGTCTCACTATTCGAGCGTCAGTCCCACGATCGACTGCCGGCCTCGCAGCTCCCTCGGCTCCTGTCATGTCTCGCGAGCACAGTGGAGGGCAACTACCAACGAAACGAGCTTCAGCTGGTCGAAAGCAATCTCCTGCCGCTGGCGGGCCGGAATCCTCTCACGGCAACATAGAAGACTTGCAGAAGAGTGCGGCGAATGGTGATCGTGATGAAACGCTCGAGAAACTTGCCGATAGGTTAAAGTCATTGCAGCAGGAAAACGAGAACGTTGAAAAGCAAACCGCCGAAGAAGAGGAAGAGCACTTCGCGCTCTTGAAGGAGTTGGAGAAGCAGCGTGATGAGCTGAGGAAGCGAGTAAAGGAAAAGGATGAAGCTAGCGGCGACCTAAAGAAACACGTTTATAAGTTAGAAAGCGTCAATCGCACGGTGCAGAGCGAGAAAGCGAAACGTGAGAGACTTGTGCAACAGAAGGAGTCTGAGCGCAAGAAGCGCAAGGATGACATTGTGCGATGGCGGGAACGGATATCACGGATGACAGCCGATGCTGCGCAGGCAAGGGAGGAGAAGTCACGTCTCGAAGAAGATGCGAAGAAGCGTGCGGATGAGGTGCGGGAGAAGATCGCAAAAGAGCAGACGGAGATGAAGGTTATCGACGATGAGATACAGGACAAGGGGGGGCGGATCAAGAAGCTTGAAGAAGAGAGGCAGGGGCACCAGGGTCCAGATAGTGAAGACGGCAAAGAGTTGGATCGAATTGACAACGAGCGTGCTCGACAGTGGGAAATTAAGCTAAGCAACCTACACGCTCGATATGCTACCCTAGTGAATATTCATGCTCAGGTTTGTGACTCCCGAGGGCCAGCACTTAAGGCAGATACTGACTTGTGCGAAGGCTCAACAACAATATCAAGAAGCTCAAGAGCGTCTGAAGTGGCTGACAACGCAAGGACCCGGAAGCACGGGGCCTTTCTCTCTACCTGCCCTAGATCTAGACCTATCCAACACAGCGACCATCCGCCCACGTCGTCATCGCAGTTCTCTAACCAGCAATGTTTCGTCCCCTATGAATTTCACAGCTATGGAACCTTCGTTCTCTGGCGGTATCAGTTACAATCCCCCTTCCACAAGCTCGCCTACCTTTGGACCCAGCTCCGCTTTCTTCAATATCAACAATGGAATGACCATTCCAGGCCTGTCAAGTCAGGCCGCCGATGCCATTTCCGAACTCTCATTTAGCAATCCTCAAATGAGCCCCCGGGCTGACGCGTTGCTTCCGTCCGACCTCCTTGGAGATGAAGAGTCACCAGAGCTTCCCCGGCCAATCGTGCGACCCGTAATGTCCGATGTTGAACAGTCAAGTGGCCAACTTGAAGGTTTCCCACAAGGTCCGCCATCGCCAGAGTCTTCCGAGAGCCGGCCTGGAAGTATCTTTGCTAGTCCTCATGAGAACCAGATCCAGGAGCCTGACTCTCAGCCCATACGCCTAGGAGATGCCGCGGAGGCTCCGAAAAGTGCCTCGCGGCGACTCTCTGGCCTGTTCGGCTTCCATCGTCCTCGCGGTAAAACGCTCGCAGATGAACCGCCTTTACTAGGCACTTTGAAGCCAGGACAAAGCCAGTCTTTCCCACGGAATCTGGACGAAATGGATCCCATCGGTGCCAGGCGCCGCCGCCTGAGCTATACAGGAAACTGGGCCAATCCGATGTCATTGTTCCCAAGGAGCAACACCACGGGTGTCACCAACGATAGCTCTTCCGATCATATGCCGTCCCGGCGGGCCGCTTTGACCAGCATCTTCTCCCCCAGCAGGTTTGGATTCGGTGGTGGGAGCAGTCTGATGAAGTCCGGCGAGCATTCTGATATTAGCACTGGATATAATCAATTCAGTCCTAGGCATGATCCGATCGACCCCTCGTCAATTCTCGGTACTGTGCGACGGGGCTCGTTGTCACCAAGGCCATCGTCGACGTTTTCCTTTGAGAATCAACTTCCCCATCCATCCACAGACAATCAACATTTCGGCTGGCCGTCGGCAGAGAAACCGGGCCATAGAAGCCCTCTGGGATTCAGTTGGGCTTCGCCATCGACTTGGTCAAGAGCCCAATCACGCCGGCAGTCCACCTCGTATGGCTCCTCCGGCCACTTGCCTCTGGGACTCACAGGGGAGCCTGATTTCCTGGAAGACTCTTCTTTTGAAAGACTTGGTCGACCCTTACAGGCACCCATTGGTACGAGACCATCATCTTCGCATCGGCCCATAACTCCGAAACTGAACCCTGCTGCGCCCACCTTCCGAACCGTTTTTAGCAGGGGTTCGGAGAAGGGTAAGGATAAGGATGGGGAAATGGAGATAGACAATGGGGCAGATACCTCGTTTGAGTTTCTTATGGACGATGGATCACCGTCTGAGCCTCGTACCTCTAAGGAATCTTATTCCCGTTCACTGACTGCCTTTACTGGGGATTCATATGAATCTCTGGAACAGTTTCCTTCCGCGGCTTCCGCGGATAACAGTAGCTCGAAAGAGTCATTCATCCGGAAGATCACGCGGAAGGGCAGCTCGGGGAAGTTTAGCTCGTGGAAAGACCGCTCAGGCCTGTTCTCGAAGAAGGGGGATACCAGCCAGGGTGATATCGAAGAAGACGGCAATGGCGAGTCACTGCTCGCCAAAAGCGTGGACAGCACTGTCTCCAGTGCTCCATCCGCGGACAGGTCGACCAGAAGCAGCCTTGGATTCTTCAGTCGCAAATCTAAGAAGACGGATAAGGCGGCCAGTGAAACAAGTGAACGACCCAGTGAACAAGCCAGCGAAACAGGCGGCGAGGAACATTCAGAGGATATCCATACATGATAGTACTCTTATGGCCACTGGTTATAGAGAGTGGGAGGTTCCGCTGATTGAAAGACTTCGCACCGTCTTTGCACAATTTCATTAGATATAAAACATAGGATAGTAATCTTTCTTGGATGGCGCATGCATGATGCCCGGTTGTCTCATCTTAGATATATTTTCAGTCGTTCAAATTCTTTCTCGTTCAATCAACATATATTGAGTTGCCGACAAGAAACATATAGTCTTTCCAAAACTCCTCGTTAGTAATAAAAAAAAATATCAATAACTAATCTTTCGACGTGTGTGTCTAGATATAAATATAGATATAGATATAGATATATATACTTAGGAGTCTTGAATCCGGGGTTGGGTGCCACTCATACCCGTCGGTTAAAGTGGCTTCCGCACAACTTCATTCATGTCGCCTTTCTTTTTCACTGCTCCATCCCATATTATACATACAAGCATTTTTGTAGTAAATCCCAATAAATGGCGAACTCAAAGTATGCCCTTCCGCCGGGTCCCTCATTATTTCCATGGATATAACATGACTAATTTAAATAACAGGTACGAGTACGTCAAAGCTTTCGAGCAGCCAGACGTTTTACTCCCCAATACCTGGATTGTAGTCCGCATCGATGGCAGGGGGTTCCACAAGTTAGTAGCTATTCTCCTCCATTTTTTGTGTATGAGAAGGAAAAGGAGAAAAAAACAAACCATGTTTGCTCTTTTCTCTGTGCAAGTCTATCTCTGAGATTTGATTCTGATTCTTTTTTGTCATGGATCGCACTCATATACTCCGTTACTAAACTACCTTTAGACTTACCGACCGCTATAACTTCAAAAAACCAAATGACCGCCGCGCGCTGGATTTGATGAATGCTGCGGCCGTTGAGGTAATGAAAGATCTTTCGGACCTGTGCATTGCATATGGCGTCAGCGATGAGTATAGGTCTGTCCCCTGCCCCCTGGCACACTCTCTACTTACAACGATACTAATTTATATCAGCTTCGTCTTCCATCCAAGCTGCCAGTTATTCGAGCGGCGGAGTGCGTAAGTTATGCAACATTCCCAGTCATCCACGGCCCAGTCCAGTAGGCTTCGACTTACATGATAACAGCAAGCTTGTAACGACCATTGTATCTACATTCACTGCTCATTATGTGTACCTGTGGGGAACGTACTTCCCTGATAGCCCGCTTCAGCATCCATATTTGCCTTCCTTTGATGGAAGAGCAGTCATGTATCCCGCTATTAGGAACCTGCGTGACTATATGAGCTGGAGGCAGGTGGATTGTGAGTTGGCCGCATGCTCCTCGTTTGTGAAGATTTAGCTCACAACCCTACTCGAAGGCCATATCAATAACCTTTATAACACAACCTTCTGGACTATGGTCCAGCAGGGCGGCATGAGTAACACGGATGCAGAACAAGAGTTGAAGGTGAGAAGTTCATGCTGTCTTTCTTTTCTTCCGGGGGCTAATGCTTGGCTCCAATCATAGGGAACAGTATCGTCGGACAAGAATGAAATTCTCTTCAAGAGATTCGGGATTAATTACAACAATGAGGAAGAGATATACAAGAAGGGAAGTGTACTTTATCGTCAAGTAAGTTGGTCAACATTTACAAATCAGAAACCGATACGCTGACTCTGCCTGCAGTACCAACTAGAGGACATCAAGCCAAAGTCAGAGCCTATGTTGGCAGAGGAAGACAATTATGTCCAAGAAGCGAAGACCTCCAGATCACAACAGGACAAGCTTCGTAAATTGCGTCGAAAGGCACAGGTTGTCGTTGACCATGTCGACATCATCAAAGACGAATTCTGGGAGCGGAGGCCATGGATTCTATCGGGAAAGCCGGGCAAATTGCCCACGGAGGTTTAAGTTACGATTTATGGGTAAAAAGGATATCAAATTCAGACGTGACACGATATATAATATAATCTTCATAAAGACCGCAGTAGCTGTAGCAAATGGGTATCTATCTATGTACGGCTGTGAGCAAAAATATGATATCCTAAAAAAAAGTAAATCTACCCCCAGTCAGCTCACTCCTTTCTCGACTTTTTGGCATCCTTCGACTTCTTCGATTTTGATTCCTCGCTCTTCTTCCTCTTTTGGCTTTCCTTGTCCTTCTCTTTCTCCTTCTTTTCCTTTTTCTCTTTCTTCTTCTTCGCTTTTTCTATCGAATCAGAGGACTCTTCACGTCCACTAGACTCTGTCTGGTCGTTCTCAATCGATATCGGAGTAGGATAGTCCTCTTCTGGGTTGTGTCCTTCCTTCGCCTTCTCGCTCTTGCGTGTGGCTTTTGCATTCTCATCAGTAGTACTGTCCTCCGCTTCCTTGGCCTTCTTTAGCTTCTTCTTCAATTCCTTTGCTTCCTTCTTCCTCCTCTTCTCTTCCTTCCGTAGGCGCCTCTCCTCCTTGCTCTCCTTCCGATTCTTAGAATCCTCCACCTCCTCCACCTGACTCATCTTCTTCCTCTTACGCTCCTCCTTCCTCAACTTCTTCGCCTCCCGATCCTCCTCCCCATCCGCATCATCCTTCTTCCTCTTCTTAGACTCCGCCTTGGCTGTAGACTCGGAGCCCAGTGCCTCCTTCTTATTTTTCTCCTCATCCTTCGACCCAAGCGTCCCCGGAACAACCTCCCCCCTCACAAAATGCCGATAGAGCTCACTCGTCAATGCATTCGGCTTCTTCTCCGCCCCAGCATTTTTCTCATCTCCAACGCCCTTCAACGCATCCTCGAATCCGCGCAGCCACCACTGGTTCGTCGGGTCTTTGGTTGTCGTCTGCCCGACACCGAGATTACCTTTGCGTCGGGACACAAGAATCGGTTTTGTGAGGCCGAGGCCAGCGTGCGTGCCTGGTCGGCGATTGGGGTTGAGTGGGTTGCCTGGGCCCGACCAGCCGTGGCGGATTAGGTAGGCTTGTGCGTCCATTTTCTTTTGTTTTCTTGTTCTTGGGGTGCAGAATTCGGTGGTGTGGATTGAGTGATTGGTGAGTATGGTTTATATAGAGGTTTCGTCGGAGTGGATATAGTTTTGTTCCTGATGCGATGTGATTTTTCAGGTATAGGCGCCGATAAGAGGGAGTGACAGGATAGTGGACTATGGGGACATGACCCGAGTCACAATACAAGTAAATCCAGAATATACCCCAATGAAAAAAGAGGGGGTAAAGAAAGAGGAAAGGGGAGTGAGTGAAGACGACGACGACACCAGAAGAAAAAGAAACGAAGATCCAAGACAAGAAAAAAAAAATTCCTCCGCAGGAGATAAGGATTTCCGAACGGGGTATCCTATAGTTGCCCTAGTCCATGTTAGACATATTTTCGTTCAATCTGATAAGAAGTCAGTTGCGTGGTCTAATGGTTATGATTTCTCATTCACATTCAGTTGTTTACTGAGAAGGTTCCCGGTTCGATCCCGGGCGCGACTACTCTTTTTTGGATGTCTTGTCGTCTATGAACATGTGGGTAGCATTCTGCTCATCTACCACTACTAGTAGTACTAGCATGTCCGAGCTATATTTTTCTACTTCATCTAGTTCTGTATTTTTTTTATTTTTTTTTTATTTTTGTTTTCAGACCTCACACTACTCCTACACTGGATCATCTACATAATTCATTCACACTTAAAAATCCCATGTTGCAACTCAGCTTCGCAACATACTTTAAACCTGCTCTAGTACAAAGCCCTACCCCTCGGAGTTTTGTTCCGCGCAGATATATATTCACCAACCAAGGCCGGCGGCCCCCACGCGTCTAAACAGAGCACAAACCACCGTAGCAATCGCAGTGGGCATTTCATCATCCGATTGAACTCAATTCTGGCGCCTAAGTGGTTCATCGGCTGACCGCATCCTCGCCCAAGTGGGCTGGGCAAAAACATTGGGAATCCGCAAGCCTCGGGCTGGAGAATTAAAAAATTTTCTTCTTTCTAGGGTCTTGCAGGGCTATTGGTACGTGCGCGATTTCTGCATCTGCATACGGCGTATGAACTGGGAGGGTTGTGTTGGTGCTAAGTAACTAAATAGATTGCGTACGGTCAGCAGAAAAAAGATCTGATATCCGGCTACTATATGGGGATTTGATATAGGGCAGGGGTTGGGTGGAATATCGGGCCATCCCGCTTGCAGCAAATGGTGAACTTATGCTCAGTACTACTGGGGAGTCCGATCCTTTGCGGATGACGGACTTGGAGGGGTGCAGGTCAGAGTTGTACAGATCCCCCTACCCAGTGAAGAAGATGGGTGGATGAAATACGCTGGTACTATGACGGGTTGGTCTGAAACATACGGCAAGACCGGGAGAATATGACAGCATGCGTATTGCCAAGGTCACGTATTTTACATTCTATCGTAGCGGGTGGACGTGGTAACGAAACAGATGAGGCCTAATTTAATAGGGTTTGAACCGTCCCTTATCCTTATTCTTTTTCGGCCGCGCAGTCTTGTTTGAGGAATCATCGCCCTGCGCATCTCCGGACTCCGGCTTCCATGCGCGGACGAATCCGTCCTCGCCGCAGGTAAATACTGATTGGGACTGCGATCGACGTTGTTAGTTGTTGATCGAATAGGGGGGTTGGCAAGGCGGCACATACCTGTTCGTCCAAATAGATGGAACGTACAACCTCCTCGCCGTGAGCGCCAGGAAGACGCCACAGGTTCTCTTGATTGAATTGCCACGATGGGTTTGAGGTAAGAGGGACCAAGTCCAGTCGCCTCTCCCTGGACATTATTAGCGCACGAAGCATACACAGATAGATAATAAGTAGTAAAGGGCAGATAGGAAAAAAAAAAAAAAAGAAAATGAAATGAAATGAAAGAAAAGGAAATAGAACAAAACCAAACTAACATTTTATGGCCAGCAGCAATATAGGGGCCCTGACTGCCAATGCATAACTGAGCAATGTACTCACAGCCTAGGGGCTGTCTCAAGTCTCCGAACTGCACAGGATTAGGCTCCTGCGTCTCTTCTTCCGGATCCGTAGCCGGATGAATCGAGAACACTTCATCGTGACTGAGAGCGTAGATGGTCCTCTCGCTTAAGAAACCGGCGTGATGTACTGAGCCATGGTTGATAACTTGTACAAGAGCCTCGTCTTCGTCTGTAATATCGGTGTTATAGATGTTGACTAGACCATCCGTGCTTCCCGAAAGCACGATATTGTTCCTTGTCGGGTGATATTGGAGCTGCAAATCATCAAGAAAAGTTTGTCAGGGGAAAGTATAACCACGGTACAGGAGTGAGCTTACCTCAGTGACATCGTCATTGTGGCTTTCAACGTATTGAAGTCGAGATTGACCCGGGGATCTGACATCCCTGTTACGTCAGTTAGCAGCTCATGAATTGGAGATGCGGATGAGAAACCACCATCAAGTAGTCAACCGGTGATGTGTGGCTATACTCATATGGAATGCGACGGACTCACCAAAAAGCAACAACAGCCTGAGAAGAGACAAGCTCAGTGCCGGCTACGAGGCTGTTCGTTGCAGGACAACAGGCTATAGATAGAACTGGTGCGTCTCTTGCTGTTAGAGAAGGCGGGATTAGCAATCAGTCGACTGTACAAATGCATCATAAGTTCCGAATGGCTGGCGTTGGCTAACACATCAAGATGCATCCATGTTTGTTACCAGAAACAGTGCACCTCAAAAGGCAGTGCGACGTTGTCCGCAGCCGTAACATTGCCAAGCAGTAGGTAGCAAGGAAAATGAGGGGGAAATAGAAGAACAAGGGAGGGTGGGAAAGAAAGCAAGGAATCTTACATGTCTCCACCTCTACAACTGCCGACCTCTTGCCATTCCGCAGATCCCAAAGCTTCACCCTCCCGTCTCTTCCTCCAGTAGCAAGCAGTTGCTGACCCGCATCATACGATTTCAACGACGTGACTCCCTTGTGGGCGTCGGCAGCCACCACAGAGACATGGCTAAGGCTAGCGGCATCAAACACACGCAGGGAGTCGTCTGAAGCAATGGCTGCGAATGAGCCTGGGCTTGATGAAGCAATGGAGTAGATGTAATTGTCCTGGGCGAGTGAGAGCGAGGAAGACGCCGTGGCTTTGAGTGTATGCATGGCTGGACAGTGATTGTCTAGTATAACAAACTCTGGTGTCCTGTCCTCTCTTAGGGCAAATAGCCACTTCACCAATCAAAGGCACCGAAGTCTCAGCCTCAGAGGGATAGATAGATAGCCCCGCAAGAGCAGAACGTAGTGCGTGTTTTACTGACTTAGTTACCGGCCGAAGACTGACTGTTACTTTCGTCCCACAGGTCGGTGGCTGCCCGGGGTTCTCGATATCAAGCCAGACGGGAAAGTTCTTGCTAAAACCAACTTCTTTGTCTTTCCCTTGACGTGGCTTACTCTGATAGGAAATAAGCGACCGGCGAAGGGAGATTGGTGTTGGATATCACAGACGATTCTTAGAATGGCCTGTTTTCTTTGCTTTTGCTTTTTTCTTTTTCCCGGATTCGCCGATGGTACTTCGGGCCTTTTGGCGGAAGCTGCGCGAAAGCCAAGAAATTAGGTTGTTCGATTTTCCTTTCGGGGACCTTTTTTGGGATGCCTCACGTATGTGGCAGCAAAGGCTGGCACGGGCAAAAATACAAACAAACTACTCAAAACATTGCCACAAACACGGTTAGGTGCTGACTTACTATGGGAAGGAAGTCACTACTGGTAGGTATCATTATCTTTATGTTTCTTTATTTCGCTGTTCCTCATAGATTGCGCGCTATCTTGCTCACCAATCATGCTTTTATTCAGTTGGTTCAATTTTCGAGGGTTGTCTAGAATATTCATACTGGAACACAAACCATAACAAGGATGGCGGCAATACCACCTGACATGGTTAATGAAGCCGACTGCATGCCCGAGCTCTGGAACTGTGCCCCCATAGGGCTATCGCCGTTGGGTCTACGCCCCCTAGACCTCCTCCCAAGCATCCCCGCTTTCTAACCTGAGACGGGCGGGCTAGCCGCAGCAAAGATCAAGATACACAGCAGCCCGAGGCGTTGAGACTAGGCTCAAGAGTACATCCACAAGTTCAAATTGACACAGTAGCTCTGTGGATTTAATATTAGGAGATTCATACTCATCGGGCGAGAGTAATCTGGGGCCGTTCATGGTCCGCATATGAAATATGAAAATACTTGAGCCAATTCCCCACGCATTAGGGTTCACACTCCATACGATATATTTCGTCATAGGACAGTATACTGAACAAGTAATCCAGTGAGTGCTATCCAGCCAAAAATGACGGGGGCTTTTTTTTTGTGTTTTTTTAATTATTATTTTCGATGTTTGCCTTGCTAAGAAGCTTGGAAGAACGAATCGAGTTAGCGACGACATACTGTAAGGTTGCTGAGTCGGATATTGACCGACCACACCATGGAATAAGGGCTCCCGCCCGAGGGTACTGTATGGTGTAGTGATATGAATCAAAGAATGGCGGTGGTGGCGACAGGATTGGTCAATGTCCAGAGGAGCTTATTCGGAGTATTATAGCAGTGTGGAGCATTGGGGGGCAGGAAAGGCGAGTCGACCAGTTTCTGCCCAGGAGTGCTCCCTCCATTTCCGAAAACAGCGAATCCAGGAGTAGCTGCATATGCACTGCCGCAAAACAACCCCGAAGCGGTTTCAGCTCTCCCAAAAAAGGTGTCCCTGCTTGGGGTGTGAAGCATTAAGCAAACCGGGCCGGTGACTGACAGGTCGATAATCTCTCAGGGACACTGGAGAGATGAAACCATTGGGTTCTTCATCTAAATCATTGGATAATCGTCATTTTTTCCCACCCACTGTGATGCAGGTGGCCCGTTTGTTGCCTCATGTAGTGACTCGAACGGGGTAGTGCCCTTCATGCCTGATCCAGGTCAGTTAGTTAAGGGCTAACACACAGGGCTTTTCAGTAGGGAGCTTGGAAGATGTACGGAGTAGAACTTGAACGGTTTTCCGTGGTTAACACGCTCTTTTCTACCGTTTGGTTGTCAAAAGGGGAAAAGGAAACGAGTTGGTACCGTAAAAGCACTAAGCCGGTCATGGCCAGGCCATTCAAGGTTGACAAAGGAGCAGGAAATACTATCTAGTAGTATCTGAAAATGGGCACCCATCGCATACTACCCTTTTCAGTTGGGGGCCAAGAAGAGATTCTCATTGGTTACCAACCAAATGCGCATAAATTTGAAGGTCGAGACAACGCTGAGAATAGGCAATCCTCCGTTATGGGTGGTACCGTTGGATTCTGTGATTGGGGAGTGCGTATTTCTGCCCTGAAGTCGGTGAGTTGTCGCTTCAATTTGAAAATGACGCGCCTGATCTTCTGCGAAATACTAAATGGGTCAAACACGAAACGCAAGGCGTCCTGCGATAGACGCGACTAGACACGGAAAAGATAGAGTGGACTCTGACTCCTCGTTACGGGGCTTTTGAGGCCAGCCGCCAACCTGCTGACGTATTTGGATTTTTGAGACCCAGGACGAAGAAGACATGGTAGATGGCGCTTACAGACAATCTGTGATATGGTACCGATGTTTGAAGTTATTAGTGGAGAAGAAAAGGATGTTTTTTTTTTTTTTTTATTAATATTATTATTGCCTTTTTCTGGTTTCAATTTTTTTGGTTAAAGTTATGACTATTCTTACCAGACCGAAGAGTTCCAAGTGGAAGGACGAATAGACAGACACGCAAAGCGCCCGGCAGATAAATCCAACGGATGCTGTACCGAAAACGGTAGTGTGGATACAAAACAAATGGCACCGTGGACGATGGGAGAGAACACCTGCTTTGTACTAACTACCCGTAGAGGTAAATTGGCGCAGGTCACTGAACTGCAGTTTGAGGGGCTTGCGTTGTTCCACAGCCCAGAGACGCCGAGAAGAGCGACTTTGTCTCGCTTTTAGTTGCTGAAGCTTCTGGGAGACCAATAGAGTCGCCTACTCAAGAACCCGTTGGTCGTTGAAGTTTGAATCCTTCGACCAAGGTTCATTAGGTAAGACTTTCATCCTTGTCCTTGGAAATGATGGTCGAGGAGTTCGCAGTGGGTGTTGGCTGTGCGCATGGGACTGTCAACGTTCCAGTCATTCTGAGACATGATTTTAACATGATACACGTCGGCGGTACATTATATGTGAATTCGTAGAGAGAAGAAAAAGAAGAAGAAAGTATATAAAAAAAAGTAGGAAGGAACAAAAGGAAAGGAAAGAAAAGAAAGGAAAAGAAAAGGGTGTGGGTAATTGAGCAGGCACCAAAGAGTGTGTATGCACGATGACTTACAATGCATGATAACCTGAACTCCTGCATCATCATCTTGGACCCGAGAGTCTGGGAAGCGGTGAGATGATCACCTGCAACCGATCACACTTGCTTATTACTTACAAATCACATGGGCATGGACTCGGCGCCGTCGTACAGAGTGGGCACCTTACGGCCACGCGGCAAGTATGGGATGTGTACCCGGTGATGCATGGACTACTTGCATGCGTATGAATAGGAACGACGGCGTTCGGGGGTAAAGTCACGGCGACGACCTCAAATGGTGTTGATGATCAGATTGACACGTTTTGGATAATTCCTTTGTTTACCCTCAGCAGTACCTAAGAAACGCTGCCGATATATCTGACTCAATTCAAACGTCATGTGTGATGTCCACTTGAATACAAAGTAGAGATCAAGTATGGTAAAGAACATTTGTAGTAGCAAGTACCTGATACGTACTCTGTAGTGCAGACGGGAATGTCTGTATGTAACATTGTATTTTTATGTATAACTTAAGAAGAGAGAGGCTAGTACTAGGCAGAGTAGGTACAGTGCTAAGAAAAATCCTGGGGGGGGGGGAAGTAGGGGAAAAGGGTAAATTGAAAAATGAAAAAAAAAAAAAAATTCGTTACTTGCCTACCCGCAATCCGGCATAGTTTCGTACGAACTTCACGGTCGATCCGCGCCGGAGCGGCTGCACGCAATGCCGTCCGGTGATTAGTGACCCTGCGGAAATGGAGGGTTGGGGCCAATTCTGGGTTGTTTTTTTTGGGCGCTACTCGAAGGGGAGCCACGCCCGAAGCTTCGAATCCTGCAACCACAGTGCTGGTACCGCTGCCTGACGCTTGTGAGCCTGAAATCGAGGGCAGCGATTGTCTGTCTCAGAGATATTTTATCTTAGTGGCCCACGAGCAAACTTTCAGTCACCTCACTAAGTGTGGGAGGCGGTCCGCATCCCGCCCGGAAGTCACTTTTCGCTTCTCGGTTGGACCCATAGGTCTGCATTTGCTCCAACCTACAAAGACAAGGTAGTACTGACGACTGTGGTGGGAACCATTTTCTCCCACCCCCGCCGACACAGTGACAGTAGCAGTGCAAAGAAATATGGAACGACGCTTTACACCGTACAAAAACTTTTTGTGTGTATACCCCCACTCACCAACGTCATAAATTACCAGGGGAACAGAGGATATCGGCATTCATATATCTCTTCCAATATTTTCTTACTTGCCTTATTGATTCATCCTATTTATTCAACTTTTTCTTACGATAATGATCATTGAAAATAAAAAAATGGGACACATTATAAAGCTATGCGCCCCGAAGCCTTTCCTATAACCCCTAACCAACTCATCACTATCAGCCCAAGAATCGATCGAAACCTCTACTAGCACCAATCTACCCTGTATATGGCTCCTTTTGACAAGGCATAATATAAATTAAGATCTAACCGTGGCTTTGTACTTAATCAATGTAATGTCTTCGCTATCTAATTACTCATGGATTTTAGCTGATGATTTAGACTACTAGTCTGGAAGAGTAGTACTCTTCCAGACCGAGTTACGGACAAACTTGGAGAAGTGGAAAGAACAGACAGAGGCGAAAAGAGAGGGAAAAAAACGGAAAAAACTGCGGGCTAATGTGTGCCCAGACATCTATACCTTGTATGATGTATGTATAATGGACAAAGATAACTGTACATGTACATACATATACCATACATACATTATGATACATCAATACAGGGTGTCTTTACATACTTCTTATGCGTACCTGTATGTATGAATGTATGTATGTATGTTGGTATTCATGCACATACATGG